CATAATTCTGACTTCAAAAAATTATTCTAAAATATATTGTCCTATTTTATTGTTCAGTATTATATTTCAATTAATCCTATTTGGGTTACTGTATTTTTTAAGTAATTCAAACTTTTCTTGATTTCTGTTCAGATGGTTAGGTTCAGTAGGTTCTTGGGAATCTATTTTTATAATAAAAGCAATAATTGAATAATAAAATTAACTGTGTTTGAGGTTTATTTAAAGTGTCCCCGAACATATTATGAAAAAAAAAATATTAGGGTGTAATAAAATATATAGGGTGACTCTATCTATGCCTAATCCTGATGCTAAATATAGTAAACGTTTTTCGGAACGTGAAAGAAGGAGAAAGAAAGGAGAAAAAAGAACGATAATGTTACGTAGAAGACGGTCAAACACAATGTTTGCGGGCAACGCCTACCCATACTCATCCCAGTTTTACTGCCCGGCAGTAAAGTACGAAAATTATGATCCGAGCTTGTCACTGCTCCAGGCACTGAGAAATTCTTCGACCTGAACATTCCGTCTCTTTCTTTTCTTAGTCCACTAATACTAACACAAATATAACAAATACACACGTAAGTACTCATATAAGAATTGGTCCGAAAAGTAAAGGGAAAGAAATTGGGATGGGTTTATTTCGCTAATTTTCTCCCTTCCGTTCTGTAAGGGTTGTTATTTTTGTTCGTATTTTATTCACGGACTGATTACAAAAGAATTGGTAAGTTTGATAGGATACTAAATTCATTTGACAATTAAGTATTCCAAAACACTACTGTTATGTCAAATATTTGTTTTTCTTCGTTTGATTTTTTAAACAAAATAATAAATGGGATTGGATGAAAAGTTTTTATTTCCCAATCGTGAAATACAGTTAACAGTAACGGCAACAGCAGCAGCAGGAAACTCGGAATGGAATAAATGCGAAATCCCCGCGAAATTGCACTAAGGAGAGAAAGTTTCTCTTCTCGTGTCGGTGTGATCAAATTGCCAGTTCGCGGTTTAAATTGCATGCGTTTCTACGTGTCATTCGGATTCGAAGGAAATGTCACACACTCTAGGAAGAATAATAATAAGAAGAATAAGAAGAGAAGATGAGTGTCTTTTCACAAACTACTTGTCTTACTAATCGTTCTTACAATTTATTAATAGTTACCTATCCAAAGATATTCTCTTTAGATTTCGAATTTGATTGACAAGAGGATACCATTTCTATCTAGGGAATGATGATAAATTATCAAGTTTTTTCATTAGATGATAGATCTAGAGAAAGTTTTTAAAGTAGACAAAAATTAGTAAAAATCTTTAATAAACCTTTTAATGTAAGTTTATTTTTTTTTTTAAAGGTACATACATATCAGGTGATTTTAAAACTAGGACCTATCGGCTTTAGGAAATTTCTCATTCTCTCTTTCTGATTGTATATAGGTATCGCGAACGAGTAACGGCAGTACGAGTAACACACCGAGTCAGGGTCCTCCCGCTGCCTAATTGAATGGCATTTTATTTAGCACAGTTCCCCGCACACTGGATAGCTGGCATTTACCTCAATTACGTAATTCAGCGTATACAAGCTCAAGCGGGCAGCTACCCAACGCAACATAGGCATTGCAAAGGCTATAGTTCTGATGGTGTTGGTTGGTGTTGTTGGTACTCGTAATAGTTGTTGCAGTGTTGTGTAGTGGTGTTGATGGTGGTGGTATTGGTAATGGTAATGGTGGTAGTGGTGGTAGTGGTAGTTGTTGTGCTAGTACCTCGCACGTTTTACTAGTGGTCTGTCAGTATATTAGTGAGAGAATGGTGGTGGTGGTGGTGGTGGTGGTCGGTCGACTGATGACACGTGTTTGCGCTACCGCCGCCATGCAATTAGCCCCCCAATGTAATTTCGCACCGTAAGAGCGTGCCACGCTCTTTTGGCCTAGTGCCGTAGCCGAGGGTACCTACATCGGTGGGTACCCCTGTATTACGAAGCGGGAAGTGATTTTGTTCGATCTCGCTTAAGAAATTCGATCCCTACGAGATGAAGATGATGAAAAATAAGAGAAGATGTTAGTAGTAGCTGTTTCATTCTCCGATCGTTCATGTCTAAACCCTTTCATTTTTCTCAGTTTCCATTTATTTTTTCTTCTCTTTTTTTTTCTTTTAAGGTTAGGATATCCTATAGGTCAAATATAGATCAGTAGAAAATGAACATTAAACTATTTCGAAAGAAATAGAGTCTTATCTTTTTTTTTTTATTTAATAATTCTTTATGTCAATCATCGTACGATTGGTTAGATCCTAGATGTTTATATGACGTAACGTGACAATAGGATGCATCATTAGATTGCTGGTTATAATATCATCTTTAATAGTACCTACTTGGTAATTGTCTCTATCTAATAAAGTTGCACAGTCATCTTGATAAGAGACAATTCACATACATTTGCGTTAGGTCAGTGTTCTAAATAGGTTTTACCGATGATTCTCGTCTTAACGTTTGAAATAATTCATAACTTGTGCTTTGGGGGAGTTTCAGTTATTCTTTTTGTTTTAGTTGTTATTTTGGATTTTAATTTGATATTTTTTTCTTTTTCTTTTTCCTAATCACGGTCACGAGCTACCAGGAAGCGTTGTGTAACGTTTAAGGAACAACACCGAAGGCGTCGGGAAATTACCGTGACTATCCGACTATCCATCGTCGGTCTATTAAATTCTTGCGGTAATTTTAATAATCGTTCGGAAGTTTTCGGATTTTACGGAAAATAATTTCCGTCCTTATACTAATCCTCTCCTCTTAACTACCACTACCACAACTACCAACCCCCTTCTCTCTTTCTTTCTTTCTTTCTATCTGGCTGGTTTTCACGTACAAGGAATGCACTTGAAGATGATAAGAACGATCGGTCATAAAATGTGTTCATAAAAAAGTTATCCAATAGTACTTTAGACAAAGTTAGGGGTCGTTTTTAACGATTAACACTTCGACAAAAAAATACAAGTAGAGAGAGAGAGAGAGAGAGAGGAAAAAAAAAGTATCCTCTTTCGTTATCTTTATGACCATTACACAGGAAACAAGAACTCTCGTTGTGCCGTACACGAGTCATAAATATAAAAGTCATTTATTTTAATTACGATTTTGCAAGGCGATAGATAAAACAGATATACACACGAGTTCGAAAATTATTTACGTCGCTTGTCCTCAGGCACTTAAAATAAAACTACTAGCAAAGAGAGAGAGAGAGAGAGAGAGAGAGAGAAAGGTTGGTAGGTGGTAAACCTTTTTTTTCTATATACACCTACGAACCTAGAGAGTATTTTTAGATTATTATCGTCAAGAGTGTCTTTTTTATTTGTAATTTCTTTTTTATCTATTTTATTTTCTTTCCTTTCAATCTCTTTCTCACCTCACACTCTTCGCTACTTTTGGACCCCCACCTCCCTCTTAACAGATAGATTTTAATCTTCGTTAGGTTGTAGTAGCATACGCAACACATTTGTGAGTTTTTTCGAAGTCCTATTCCCATTCCTTTTTTTTTCTTTTTTTTCTTTTTTTTTTAGTTTTGTTCAACCACTTGATATATTCACTTTTAATGTCTTCACGCGTGGTGACTTTGTTTGTTATTCTCTTTCCTTCAGATTTACTCGGTGTAAAGTCACGATATCTTTTACCATTTCACGATTGGAGTAACCAACCATCGGATAAGATCCGTTGCGCAAAAGGAAAAAAATCTGATTTGTGTGTACATACATGTAAGTAAATATTTAAGTGTGTTTGTATACGTGTGAAAAATTGGTACTTGGTTACGTGTTAAGATTTTACTTCTATTTGAACGATCTAATCTCACTTGGTTGATCTTCATTAAAGACTTGCTAGATAGTATCGCGAATGATGAATAAAAAGAAATAATAAATAAAAGAAATGAAAATTCGAGTTTTCTCATAGATCCGACGGATCGACGTTACCGGTAACAACGAACGGTGCTACGTAAGTAAGTAAAGTACATCGGCGAAAGGATAAAAGAGTAAAAAAAAGTTGTTGGAAAGCTCAGAACAGCTCCACCTCCAGCCATTGGTGGTCCATTCCCTTAGCGATCGGTTGATGGGCGGGGCCAAGGACGTTCTCGTCATTGCTCCTGTCGCGATGATCCTGACGTACAAAAAATTCTAAACAAATAACAATATTTATAACAAAATATATCTAACAATGTTTAAAAACAAAACTATTGATTTTGAATTTCCAAAGAATTTAATCATAATTTAAACATATATATAAGTAAGAATAATTTCAAGATATAGTTTTGTTAAATAGTTTGAAGTTGTCCAAATATAAAACAGTATAGTGAATAAGATATTGAAGTATAAAAGAAGAGAAACGATGATCCGTCAGGACGAGCAACGGGTAAGTGCGTTCGCTGGAGCTTCAGGTATAATCGTAGTCGCGTTCTGCAACTCGGTGAAGGTAAGAAAATTGTTTTATGGGATGTGGTCAATGTAAGCCACGCCACTCGGTAACCATAATGGCCTCCGGCTAACGAATGGGGATTGAGAAGACGGTTGGTCGGTGGTGGGGAGAACGAATCACGTTAGAGATTGACAGTCACTGTAGGCGTGGTTACCCGTAGCGCCACAGCGGCAACTTTGGGAAATTATTTACCGGGCTCGGGGAGAGGCTCAGGCTTCATTATGTATCATTATACCGGTCCGCGCCGCTCGGTATGCACTGCAGTTAGTGGCTAAGGCGCGCGCGTGTGTGCTTTTCTCTCTTCTTCGTCCTCGTTCGTGTCGTGTCGTGTTGTTATCGTTGTCGTTGTCGTTGTCGCGGTCGTCGTCGTCGTCGTCATCGTCGTCGTCAGGATTGCGATTCGTGATTCGTGATTTTTGATCTCGAATTTTAAATCGACATTTCGTGTGAATCGTTTTTTAATTTTTTTTCTTGAGAGAGAGAGAGAGAGAGAGACGAGGAGAGAAAAGGATTTAGAAAAAGTTTGTTTTTATTCTTCGCTAATTTAATTTATAAATCATTAGCGAATTTGTTTGTATATTTGTGTATATGTAGATATATACACAACGATTGATTAATTTAATAGAACGGGAAGGCGAACGCGCGTTCGCGCGTTTTTGACGAACATCGAGAGGAACCTGATGAAGTGTCGCGTGTGAAGGAAAAAAAATTGAAAAGAAGATAATAAAAGAAAGAGAAATAGATAAAATAAAATAAAATAAAAGGAATAAATAAATTTAGATATGTCGAGGGATTACGTTTGGTGCGAGGATACAAATATGAAGAGATTTATGGCGAGCTGACCGATCTACGGGATTAATCGAATTAGTTTTGGATTAAACTTGGGTTAAAAAAGACGAAACAACAAGCAGAATAAAAAGCAAGGAAGGAAAACGAATCAATTAATCGAATAATAAAGTGCAACAAATTGGGAAAGAAGAAGGAAAAAAGTGGCCGTGTCGTTAAGTGGAGGTGAATTGAGTGAGAATAATTAACAAATAAAAAAAGGAAACAATTAAAAAAAAAAAACGGGGTTTAGAAATAAAGGAATTAAAAAATAAAATTAATAGCAAGTTAAAGATCTCGTTGAAAGATTGAAAACTATCCAATGTCATTGGCTGTGGAAGAAGATAAAATCGAACTAATCCAAGATTCGGGCCCCGTACGGGTGTCGCGGTAGGGCGGCGGCGGCGACGACGTCGTCCGCGACAAATTTATCAACGCTCGAGGCCGCTCTCGAGCTCGGCTCGAAGGTGGAGAGGCCAAGCAGCACGACGACGCTCAATTTCACGGACCTGGGGAGCCCATTCGGGGCGGGCGACCCCTGTCCGTCAAGTACCCCGACCCCGAACAGTATGTCGGGTGGTGCCGGTGGTGGACCGTCGGGTGGCGGTCAAGCCGGTGGTGGAAACGGTGGTGGAAACGGTGGATCCGACATGGACCAACACCTTCATCATGGTGGACTTGGTTCGGTGACACCAGGACCACCTGGTGGTGGTAATAATGCTGGAGATAGTACAACATCTAGTACACCAGTATCTCAAACTGGTAAATCGGCATTCATCGAACTTCAACACAATAACCTTTACAACCCGGCAAGTTTACGGGGTGGATACCCATCTGGACATAACGTACCTGGTGCACATCAATTCTCTCATCAGGTCAGCGCCCTCGGACACCAATCCTCTGGTCCCGGTAGTGGGAATCAACAACATGCTGAGCCTGGATTCCCAAGTCCTAGGTCAGCGCTTGCTGGATATCCCTTTGGACCTATGCATCAACATAATACATATGGATATCATCTTACATCTTACGCGCCTCAATGTCCCTCGCCGCCCAAGGACGGTGAGTACCCTAACTGTATGTATTCGCAACTTTTTTACTATACTATTTTTATCCTTATACTTTTTCTTCTTTTCAAAGTAATTAAGTTATTTATCTAACTATTAGATCGCGTTAAATCTAACGACATGTAATCACATATAATTAATCATCTTGTTTATCTAAATTTGCGTCAAAATTATTTGAATTCGTTCAATCTCATCGATAGTTCCATATGTTTTTTAACGATCATTGTTTTTTACAACCCAGTAAAAACAACCGTTTCTTTTTCGGAAGTGAATAGGAATTAGGATAAAAGGGGATTTTAAAGAAAGACAACATTAGAGAAAGGTTAAAGAAAAATAGAGAGAAAATCTGGATCAGCAGGTAGCGGGTTCATCTTAAGCGTCGGTCGACGCCCCGTCGTTCTTCTTTCTTCCCTTTTTCATGGTGTATTACAATGCCATGAAACAGAATCTATGATATACGAGCATAAAAAAGAAAAATAGGAGAATCCCCTTTTTACGAACCCAAAAGAACAAAAAAAAAAATTAAGAGGAATAAGAAAACACCGATAGAAGATGGTCAAAAGATAAAAGAAACAAACTTCAGATGATTCAAGTTAGGATTTTAAGGATTTACAAGAGATCGCGCGAAATTTCATTCGACGTTGTGTCACGTCCTAGTGACAACTAATTTCGAACTTTGGTACGTCAATTGTGCGAGTGTCCTTCCGATTAAGTAAAAGTATAAAAACTGTCATCCTCTGTTGTTACGATATGAAGAAGTGAGTGTATTTTTAGAATGGAATAAATACATTTTTTATATAAACACAGAACAAAGGTGTTTTCATATAAATAGATGTAAACAGATATTTCTAGAATAGGTCAAAAACAATCTTCTTACGAGTTTAAATATATGTTTCTATATTGAGTAAAGATGTTTTTATTGCTATAATGGTATGGAGAAGTGGGAAAATATGTGTGTGTGTGTTTCTTGCGTACGTGATCTTGAACACTTCGATCATGAAATCTGTTGCTCTCCGCAATAATGCAAAGTGGGGATTTCAAGCAAAAGTGTAGTTTAAGGTGAAGTACGCGAAAAGGGAAAGAACAAGAAGCTGTATAGAGAGAGGGATTTAGTATAAAAGCATGTAAAACGAATAAAACCTAGCACCTTATATTCGTCTTTCCTGCAGTGACTAAAATAATAATAATAATAATCTGATATTTTCGAAATTAGTTAACAAATCTATATTAGTAATAAATTTTGTTCTGTAACCAAAGTGCTTTAGCAAGAACCAAATCCAGTAACCTATAACACGGCGCTAAACACCAAAAGACTTGAAGAGTTTTAAATCTGACGATCAACACCAACGGAAGACCATCTTTCGGGGATTCTTAATCACCTCTTAAGGTGACAATAGTAACATCGGATAAATCACTATCTCTTACTCGCTTAATAGGTTTCACTCTCTTAGCCCAGATCCTGGGTAAAGTACTAGCTTTACAGACTGACCCAAAATAGGGCATATATTTTTTCGACCGAGTAAACGCTGGTAACGTGACCGGATCAAAGAAAAATATCTTTAAAATTGTTCTTGCTCCTTGACATCCCCTTCTGGGACGTCACAGTTGTTTTCTTTATTTCTCTTCTCACCCTTGCAATTCGCATTAGCGCACGACACACAACGTAATCACACCGTTGATTCTTTCTTCAAATTGTCGAGACTAATTACGTTTCTCATTATCAAACGTCGTACCAACCTGTGGTATAATATAAGTACTTTATCTGCTATCCTATCTCTTACTCACTGATGTTAACAGATATATCTTTTTCTCTCCCGGGCACTTATTCCAAGAATATTTTACTCCGTGAAATATCACATCATGTGCATGTGTGTATGTATATATGTGCACGCGTATGTGCCAAGGTTAACGAAGAAAAACACACATAAACATAACGTTAATATTAACAAAAAATAATAATAATTTACGTTAGTTTAAAATGCAAAAAAAGTTAGGTTATGTCATGTAATAAAAATGACATAATGTTAAAAATCTACACCGAGTAAATATCTCGATGACTTTTCTAACCAATTTTGGTGTAACCGTTTGAAAAGTTGATAGTTAAAAAAGTGTATGTTTGAAAATAGCTCATTAAATAAAAAAAAAAAGAAGGTTGATAGTGTTTCTTAACCTCATCGTTTCGACGTAGTTGGATTATTGTGGTTAATATCGAAACAGGTTAAAACTGTTTGATAGGGGATGAAGTGGAAAGTGTAAAGTAACGAGGAATTTCTGTTAGGGGTTGGTTAGTCATGCTAGTAGTCTCTTGAAAACCCTTCCTATGGACTCTTTCTATCTCTTTCTCTCACTCTTTCATCGACAATGTAACTCGAGTTTTCACTGTTTGTTGGAATACGTTGATATCTACTTTTTTCTACTTCTAATTCTATTTCTATTTCTTGTTCTTGTTCTTCCAGAACTTTTTCTTGTTCTTCTTGGTGGTCGACCGACAGGTCGTCGACAAAAACCCTCCAACAGTGGTCTCTGTGTAAATTCGTAATGACGCTTACGTTCTTCACCCTTCTCTGGTTTCTTCCATCACCCCTTTCTTTTTTTCTTTTTCTTTTTTCTTTATCTTCACCCACAACCCTCATCTCTTCTACTTTCACGATGCTCACACGTTTTCTTTTCTTTTATTTGTCCCTCTTTTTTTTTTTTTATTCTTTGCATCGAAAATATTCCTTCGACACTCCCCCTTTTTAGATTTCTAACTAATCGAAATTGATAACAATTTTTATTCCACAAACCAAAACCCTTTCTTTCTGAATGTTTTCAGAATATTTGTCATTTGCGTTGCAGTTGAATGAACAACGTTGTTTTTCGATTTGTTTCAAGCTTGTGAATTACGAACTATGATCGTGAATAGTTTGTCGATTACTTGTGTCCAAATTGCAGACTAGAAATATATAAAACGTTTGAAAATAACTGTGCGTTTAAGAATGAGTATTGGGTAAAAGAAAAGAAAAGAAAAAAGAAAAAAGGGTTGTCTACTTTTATCGAAGGGATTCCCTAAACTTTTTTTCTTCTTCACCCTCATATGTTCTTTCTTTATTCCCTAAGAATCCTGAGTATTCGCATGTATCCGTTGGTTGTAATGATAGCTTAACAATCCACAATTTTGTTTTTCTTATTTTATGCGATTTATGAAAAGACTATATCGGATCATTCGAAGTAATGTAAGACCATTTCCTCTGAATTTCTTTTTCTACTTCGTTTTTTCTTTCAAATAGGATAAACGTGTAAGAAATAAAGGGTAACAAAAATAGTGTGTGTGTGTGTGTGTTGAAATCAGAGAAATTCTTGGTAGGTGTAATCAATTCGAATGATCACGGTGTTGTTGTTACTATTATTGTTGTTATTGTTGTTCACGAAAGAATTCTAAACGATATTACGTTTGTAAAGGTTCAATTTTCGAAAATGAAGGGGTTCGACGATCTCTCTCTCTCTCTCTCTCTCTCTCTCTCTCTCTCACTCATTCTCTTTCTCTTTAACAATTTTTCTATTATTCTTTTTTTATTTTGTTCGTAAATAACGTCATCATCGATACTCTGCGTTTCCATTATAGTATTTTCCTTTTTTTTTTGTACTCTTCAATCGATTTGATAGAAAAAAAAAAAAATGGGAGTAGAAAATAATAGAAAGAGGGGGTTGGATGTAAAAAGGGTTTCGTTCGTAATAATCCAAATCGTTTGAGAAAAAAAAGTAAAATTTTGTTCGTACTTTTCATTTTCTTTCTTTTCTTCTTCTTTTTTTTTCGAAAATGATCAACAAAGATTGCAATTTTTTTTGAGAATTTTAGTGATAACAAGTACGAGATGTTATTAAAGTACTTTCATAGTATTCTTCTGTGAGTTTCGCGTTGTGGAAGGAAAAATACGCTGCAGCTGTCATAAAACAAAACAAAAAAAGAAAAACAAAAAAAGAAAGAAAGAAAAAAGACTGAGCGTTGCATAAATTTATTGATCTTTTCGATTTCTTTTTTATTTCATTTTTAATCCATCATTCTTGATCATTATACTTTTATTTAAAATTAACATTAATATTTATAAATCAAAATCTTTATTTCTATGGGATTTTTCAACTACAGTTCAATGTTTCTTCAACTTTGTTTCCCATAACAAATATTTTTTGTGAAACCTATACCTTTTGTTTTAACTATAATGAATTTAGAAACATTCTAGGAGTATCTATGTTCATTCAATTTTAAATGAATTTTCATTTCTCGCAAGTACAGACATTTTTTTTTGAGGTTAGTCATGTGACTAACATTTTAAGAAATTACTCGTTGAAAATTTGATAAATGTTTTATTCAAATAAATAATATCGTTCGATAAGTATCATAATTAATTTGTTTTAACTATAATAAATTTAGAAACGTACTAGGCGTTTAGATTCATTCAATGTTAAATGAATTTTCATTTCTCGCAAGTACAGACATTTTTTTTTTGAGGTTAGTCATGTGACTAACATTTTAAGAAATTACTCGTTGAAAATTTGATAAATGTTTTATTCAAATAAATAATATCGTTAGATAAGTATCATAATTTATTGATTGAGTTATAAATAGTATTTATTATTATTATAAATAATGAAATAATTATATATTATTTTGATACGTGGCAATAATCGAGTTACACGCTTAGCTCGCATGAGTGAAAATAATTCTAATGAAGTTTTTCATTTTATTTTAATGTTCATATCAACGATCATCATTTAGTATATTTTACCACGACGTATTTAAATACTCACTAACCGTCATTATTTAATTTAATTAAATAATAAACATCTGATTATGATCGTGATCTTAATTGCCACTGAACATGCTATTGTTTGTGCATCAATTCTTCAGCTTTATTTGTTTTCTCTTTCTTTATTATTATTATTATTATTATTAATTTGTTTTTTGTCGTTAAAATCGTTACAATGTATAGAATTAATTTTTTATTTTATTTTAAATCGTTCGAGATAAACAGATACGTTCGATACAAGTTGTATTTGTTGTAAACGATTAATGAATTTATAAATTAACAATTAATAATAGGATTTTTTATTTACTTTTTTATTTTTATTTTGAAATAAGAAATTAATGAAAGAAATACATTTTCTAAATTATCTAATCTCCAATCATAATCAAACGTATTATTAAAATTTATTAGTTTACCATTAATAATATTTTCTAAATAAGTTGACAGATTTTTTTTCATAATTGTTTAAAGTGAATTTATATTCATGGTAAAAATATTTATTTAAAAAATGTCATATTAATCATTGAATTTTTAAATAATTTATATCAAAATAAATCAAAATATTTAAGTAACTGTATTCCAATTTAAAGTTTTACTTCTGAGTGTGGTATTTAATGGTTGTTTGCAAAAGGATTTATCTGCATCTTAATACCTGAACCTTTAAAAGGTTTCAAAAGGATCCTCTTAAGAATTTGACTAGTCTGAGAAAGTTTTGATTTTTGTAGAATGTTTTGCTTCTACAAATTTCTTTATGAAATATTTGATAGAATAAATTTGTTTAAATTATTTCATTGACATTAAAATATATTTTTCTAAATATAACATTCATTGTAATATGATATTCATTAGGATACAATCAATAATACTAATTATAACAATTTGGATCAATTGTTTTGAAGAAATCAACAAATTTCTTTTATTTTCAATTAATTTTGTAATAAAATAATATATATTTGTTGAGGAAGGTTTTAAAAATAGTACGTTCTAATGTAACACAGAATCATATGCATCGAATCGTGGATGAAAATACAAAAAAAAAAAAAAAAAGAAAAAAAAAATAGAGGGAGAACTGTAAGGCTAATTATTATAGCAATTAATCGGTGGATCGTGCGAGAGTTCCGCGAAGGTAAGTCATAAAGCTTACCGTCGGTTGGTTCAACGCTGTTGCTTTTATGTCGAGCTAATAATTTTCTCGACTATGTTTCAAGCAAGTATTTTGCATATGGTAACGGCCAACCAACCAACAGCTGCCAATAAGAGAATTATATCCTTTACGATAAAGGAAGAGAGAGAAAAATATTAAGATAAAAAAAGGAAGAAAATAAAAAACTGATGGGGAGTGGGGTTGCAAACGGGAGGGGGGTAGGAGTAAGGAAATACTATGGCGATGTTAAAACGGTACTCGCCGATTTTCCGTACTCATGGTGAACGTATACTTTTACAGATACAGTGGTTTCGTCATATTAACCGTTTCTAATTAACGCGAGTTTGCTCGTAATCGATAATAATATACCTTTTTCATTTTATATCTTTTTTTCTTTATTTATTTCTTTTTTTTTTTATTGGTTATATTTATTTTTTCAATAGTTTGTTAGTTAATCGACAATTTCGAAATTCTATTAAAAATTATTTTCTATATGAAGATTTGTTGTTCCTAACTTTTTGTTATTTAAAATATTTATTGCTCATATTTTTCGTAAGATTATATTTGTTTTATTATTTAAATTATTTAATTATTATTAATTTGTTGTATACTATGAAACAAATTTTTGTATACACATTGTAGAAAGTTCCATTAATGTAACAGGTAAATTCTGTAAATTTTCAATAGTGGCATTCATTTTATTTTTTAATAATAATCTATAAAGTTTATCAATAAACTATTGTTTAAATTTTTAAGAATATCTCTATTAGTTTTTTAATTATATAAATAAATCAATGTAATAGTAAAACGAATGAACAAATTGTTTTGTATATCATCGAATACATTTTTAAGGTTAGAAACTTCGATGAAAATTTGTAAAAATGTCAACACGATGATAACAGAAATAATACAATTTAAAATAATTCAAGTAACAATTAAATAATCTACTTAAATATTAAAAAAAAAAAAATAAAAACAAAAATAAATCGTAAAGAAAGTGCAGATATTTTTGGTTAGGTTAGAAAATCAAATACTTCGAGGAAAATTTATAAAAATGTCAGTACGAGAATAATAGAAATAATTCAAGAAACAATTAAATATTGAACAAAATAAAACCAAAAGTAGTTCATAAAAAATTTGCAGATATTTTTAGGTTAGAAAATCAAATTCATGTTAAAATTGAACGAACGATATGTGAATAACGGGGGGAAAAAAATTGTAATAAAATAATAGATTGAAAAAAAGGAATAAAAAATGGAAACTAGTGAAGTATAGTAGATGGATGAACTATGATGATGATCGTTGGCATATACAATACTACTGGCCTTTCGCCTTTCGGAGGGAATGACACGAGCGCCGGTCATAAATCACGATGATCGTCGCTCTAACCCACGTTTACGTCCGGCCGCGCGACCGCAAATTACGCTTTAATTAATAATCGCGCTAATTATCACGGGGAAAGGTTCGGTATGCGAACCTCTCGCGTAACTTCTCGACGTTAACTCGATGTTTTGTCGCGCTTGACATCTCAATGAACTTAAGCAAACCACGAATAATAATATTATCTCGTCGATTTTACGATCAAAGATTAAAAAGGGTTTACTTCCACCTAATTTTTATTTTCTTTATTTTTCTTCGTATTAATTTTAAGGTATATCCTTAAAGATTTGCAGAATAAGTACGATCATACAAATTTCTAATTGACGAACAATTAATATGAAATATTGTAAGCAATATTCTTTGAAATATAGTTTAACCAATAATAAAATATTGGATATATGTTTATAAGATTGTAGGTTATGTTTTAATTACTTCTGTAAACCGTACATTGGATTTTAGGAAACTTTTTACGAACGATTCTTATAAATGTAATACCAAACAATTGTCGTATCTCAAAGGGGAATCACACAATTATTAATTACTAGATATCCCTAGATAATACGCGCCATCTACTTTACATTGATACATTGGGATTAGCGCCAAATTTAAAATGTACAATCAAATGGAACTATCGGTGAATAATATTGTAACATTAAAAATATTTGATCAAAAATATATGAAACAAACAATTTCGTTAAGTTTATTAATTTTAAAATTGAAAAAGGGATAAAATTTTTGAGTTCAGTTTCTCTTTAGTTCGTATACCAGAAATGATGAGGATTCTGAAAGTTGATGTTAGGGTGGTGCATGTTCGCAGACCTCTCGCCATTGGGCGACAAGGGTGGAAGTCTGGTAGATGAACTTGGAGGTGGTGGTGGTGGTTCACTGAGGAATGGCAAGGGTAAAAAGATGAGAAAGCCGAGGACCATCTATAGCAGTCTGCAACTTCAGCAGCTGAATAGGAGGTTCCAAAGAACACAGTACCTGGCATTACCAGAAAGAGCAGAACTTGCAGCAAGCCTGGGACTAACTCAAACGCAAGTAAGTTTTATTAATCAATTAATTTATCCTCAAATAACATTTGATCATATTTGATAACACAATAAACATTAGAAACGATAAATCGTTGGAAAATAATTGAGAAACAGAAAAATGATAGGAAAGTGCGTTAACCCTTTTTGTTAGGTATAGAAAAGAGTATCAAATTGCAAGGATTCAGTATATCGCGTAACAGGATCCTGAATGTATAGCATCTGTCAGCATTATCGGCACAAATGACTTTAGTAAATCACCAATCTGCCACGCCCTGGACATCGGGGATAGGGTTGCTGAAGTGTCCAGTGATTCGAGTATAGGGTAGGATGCTGGTCATCGTAGTTGTAATAACAAGCAGGATCCATAAATTTTCTCTTTGGTACTTTTCCATGGTATACACGGTCTATGTGTAGTAATATCTTCCTATCTATCCCACAGTTTCCTCGAGAGAAGAAAAGATCTTTCTCTAATTATCTATCCTTCGTGGTTTCCAATGAACGATTTATTAGAAAGAACGTTGAGGAGGTAATATCGAGGCACGTGAGCTAATTAAATATATTTATCTCTCTCTCTCTCTCTCTCTCTCTCTCTCTCACTCACTAATTCTTGTTTCCTATCTATCCATCCTTTCCTACACCAACACCCTACCAACATACTAACCAGTTTCATGATTTCGATCTTAACGATATATACTCGGAAAGACTTCTTTTAGATTGGAGAAACTATTTCTTAGGATATCACCAGGAAGATGTCCTCGTTAGATCATTTTTATAATTACTGGAGTACATGTGTCAAGAAGACGAATATGGTCTATTAACAAGTTGATCTTTTTTATTTTTCAAAATTATTTTTACATCTGAGTGTATTAAAATGTTAGTAGTATCCTAGTTATATCTGTATGTAATTGTGCATAGGATATTTTTTGTGGAAATGTTGGTAGTATCCTAACTAGTGTTCCTTGTTCGTGTATGTTGGTTGGCTGTCTCTGTGTGTATAACTGCGTATAGCGTAATCACAGGATAACTGGCTGTCGTAGCTCGTTGATGTCGTTGCAGGGGGTCTCGAACCGGATAATTTCATTAGCTCGAGCACCGCGGGAGCTTGTCCCCCCCGCATGGAAAGAATCGAGCTGATGAGCGATCGCGCGCTTCGCTTGTTTGCAAAACATCCGACCGATATAGAATCTTCCCTTATTCGAATCATTGCCTGGATACAAACTTCATATTACACTTCCATTTTTTTTTTTATCAAAGTACCCCAAGATATTTTTGCATTTTTATTTGGGATATATTGAATTAATATTATTGCTAGATTTAAATTTATAATAATAGTATATATAATGTCCATTTGTGCAGAGCCAAGTCAAACGATGAACCTAACCTAACTTAAAATTGATTTATTCGCAATAATTCTTAACAAATCAAATTAAAAACGATGAACCAAATTAAAATTTATTTACAAATATATATATTTATATATAATTTATT